CGTACTTTCTATATATAATATTATGTGCTATGTAATGCATTGTCTCGTATATGTTTAGAATTTTCTTGTATCAAAAAATTTCTGCGCTCTTATATATTATATAGCACTCACAATATGCTTACGGCGTGTATGATTATTATCATGCCTCTATTATTGATTAATATTATTGATTAATTAAGAGATCTTCATGAGATTGGCTGCCATTTTCTCTGCTCGATAATTGCTCTCAACTTATCTAATTTTCAATGCTCACAGCTTGTCTTACTACATAATGATTAACGCTATTCTCTATTTTAGCAATACGACAGACCAATTCCAGTTTATTCCATTTATGGTATATGTTAATTGGTAGGGAAGGCGTTTAGTTAGCCGAGACCTTGATCATATGATTGACCATTGGACTGTATATATAAACTTCATCAATGACTTCAATGACATTGTGTCTTAGATTCCCCCGACATTAAAGAAAATTCATTCCACGCATTCTGCCTTGACTGCGAAACATCCTTAATGTATATAACGCCTCATGTTCACTTTGCTTATCAATAGGTTTTGCTTACAAATTATACTTAGATGTTATAACTGAAGTATCCCTCCTTTGTAAATAAAACTTCTAAGTAAAATCTTATTTGCATCGTATTTCTTATTCGTACTGTCTGTTATTGAATGTTATACATCGTATTAGTCTTGCGCGCATATGACACACTGAATGATTATATCTCTTATTTTCTTATTTATAAATATCATATTGTTATATACTCTATTCTGGTTTACTACCGTATATATATCTTCACGATCCCTCACTTTATTAAAGTTTGCTTCATTTAACACCTATTGTTTGTCTGATATCTCTTTCGTTCACTATCGCTGATCTAAACTCGACCCCACTTACTGACTCTCTTCCGAATCCGATTATAACAAAGGGTTCAATCACTACCGTGGATCAAATCGTAAGAAATTGTTCTGCAAGAAAAGGTAGCGTAGTATTTTGTTAATGATAAATTATATATAAACAACATTTTTCGTTGAAAATTTTAACCGCGGATTGCCACCATTCCAACAATTCCCTTTTAAATAGCTTAAAAACAGGCTTACAGGTTGAGCAAGAATCTCCAAGTTATTTAATCCAACGTACTTGAATAAACCGTGATTTGTGTTGTGAAGTAAACGCTAATTTTAACGTCCAAAAGTATAGGTATAATTTAAAACATTCACTCGTGCACAATAGATTTTATGTCTAGTTTGCGTCTAAATTAGTTTTTGTTTTTTTTAAAAAAAAAAACAATAATACACATTAATTAATTAATTAATTACTAGTTCAATGGCGGATTTTCTGCAGCTCGTACATAGGTTATTAGAACCTATACCCCAATATGTTTTAGGTTGCTTACCCGCTATAGCAATAGCGGGTGCATCACCGATGAATGACTTTATTGATAAGTTAATATGGATGTTACGATGTCTTGGTTGCCCATTTATGGGAGTTTTTTATGTTGTTAACATAGGTGGTAAAGAAGAACCTCTTTTCCTATTTTGGCTTCCAGTAGAAAACTTTATTACAAACGAAGATGAAGAACCAAAATACAGACCTGTTGGATTATATTATATGAGACCTGTTGGATTGTATTATATGAATATAGAACAAGATATGAAGGAGCATGTAGGTAGATGCACAGCCAAAGCGTCAGTTCTAGAAAGATTTTCATCTGTAATATCTATGTATTATATCGTGGTCGGTGTACTAGCGGGAATATCTAGGACGACTGGATTGCACACTTGTGAAGATTGGCCGTTTATACCATTATTATTGACTTGGACGATTCCAGCACTCATCAGAAGAATAAAATCTGGAAACTTGGTAGTCAAGCACCCTAAAGATGAACTTGAAGGTTTAACAATAAAGATAGTTAAAGATCTGGATAATAGAAGACGTAAACGTGTTACCGTTACATTGTTTGCTTTTATCTCAATAGTTCTTCCTTGGCTAGCAGTATTTTTAGCCTACTTCACACCCCCGATTGGATACGCTTGTCGAAGCAAGTATGTCACGACAATCTGTGCCATATGGTCATTTAATAGCCTTTTAGCTTATTTATGGCACTTGAAAGGAGAAAAAAACTTAACCAGCCCTTCAATATTATATAGTTGGTATTCTTTTTGGGGATTCATAGTAGCAATTTTATTGGTTGTTCTTGGTTTATTAAATAGGAATCCGGAATGGTGGGTGGGTCTGTTCGGATATTCCTGTGATGTATCAAAGTCAGGATGTACATTAAGCCCAAAATGTCAATAAGTTCATTTACTTTTTATTTTCATTTCAACAGTTACATCGAATCCTGTAAGCTAATTAGTTTAAAGGAGTTTTTATTTTTGGAAAACTATACTTATAAAACATGTTATACCGCATCCAATCGCGTAATAGTCATTTTATTTACATATGTTATATTATCTTTATATATGCTATATACTGATTTTTAAATTCTATAAACTAAATAATTTAATAATTTATTTTATAAATCGATTATTTCATTATTATTGTAATTTCATAAATAAATTGATCTTTAAAGATTTGATTAGCTAAAAAAAATGTATCATGATATCATTTAGTCAAAAACCCTGGACTAACTATTACTTTAATGGTATCAAATATTAGCAGAGATGGGGATACTCTTAAGACACATAATGTTGAAGATTGTTATCTTAATGAACTGGAAAGCATTCGTTTATTATAAGAAATCAGCGCTGGGGATTTTTATGGAATGATTGGGGATTTCTTAATGAATGGTTAAAGAAATGTGTAATCTTTGTAATGAAGAAAGTCAAAAGTAGGGATGTGTCCGGTTACGGTTATGACCGTTTAGCCGCAGTTATTGACCATAATAATAATCGATATTGACCGCTCAAATCGGCTTAGCCGACCGGTTGACCGATACTATGAAAAAAAACGGATCAGCCCGATAAGACAAAGATCGATACGGAAACAGGTGCGAACGTCAAGGTTACACAAATTGCAAATCACTTTCAAAATCCTCCAGCCAATTAAAGTTTGATATCATATGGCGATTAACCAATCATAGGCGATAAAAAAATTTTTTGTGCGTGTTTTAGATTTTTTGAGAAGCTTGCACAACCTATTTTTATAATGAAATATAAAGTTTTTATATCAAATTTGATAATATTAGTTGAATCCATTTGAATCCCACAACTCTTATAACGTTTACCCAGCAAAGTTTATACAAGAAATACAAGAATATAGGGTTGTATAAACGTTAAACTACTAGATCGTCTAGCTTTAGCTCGCTGAGCAATACAAAGTTGAAGGAAACAAATATATTGTGATATTGGCATATACTTTTTTATTACATTTAGATCAACTTTTAAATAAATTTATGTATATGTAATAGTTTTTTTACTAATTTATTAATTTTTTAGATTATGAGGAACGTGTCTTATGTAGTTGAGATTTGAGCTGGGTATATTTCCTAGAATGTAAATATATACGTATATATATATTAGTAAAATAATTGTTGAATTATAAATGAGATGTTTGGGTTTAAAATTAGATGTGGTTTGAATATAGAAGAGAAATAGATTTTTTTATAATTAATAATTAATAGTTATAATTAATAGTTTATTAGATAATTCAATCACCAAACTCTTTCTGATGATCTCTCGGTCAACAACAAAATAACTGAACTACAGTAAATGATATAAAAAAGAGACTAAATAAACACAACAATATTCTTGGTTTTGCAAACACTAAAAAGCAGGCATATAAGAATATTAGGTGAGTTTGTGCCTTGGGTCAAGTTTTTCTTCTGGCAGACTCTCTAGAACATTTGGCATTCAAATTAAAAGATTTATTCTGGAAGCAAGTAGAGCAAGAGTCTTTGGGCAAAAATATCAAGTAGATACTGGGAACTGAACTATATGACTGTAAAACTTACAAGAAGAACCTCACATATTTTGTTGACCCTTCACTTCTTTTTTTGTAAAAAAGTAGGTATCTTAGTTTATCTTTTCTAAAAGATCAATAAATTGTTTACTTACCAAATCAGTCAGCATTATTTGTTTTTTATCTATCACAATATATATATAAATATATATGAAACTAGACATATAGAAAATGTGTTTTCAAAATGGCAACCTGAATAAACAATGCTCTGAGACCAATAGTGCAAATTTTGATCTTTCTGACTTCTCTACAGTGCTGATATCGAAGAAGCTATTTTTTTACCTTGTTGCAGGGTTTTTTTCTTATTTTAGATATACTATATATATAGATTAGAGTAGAGACTAGTTAGATAGTAGTATGTAATTTTTATAGAGCTCAACACAGACTTATAATTGTAAGTATCTAATGTGAATAAAAGTCTCGTATTTAGTTTTTTTTCATTTTTCCTTTACTCTATTTATTTTTTGCTTGTATTTTTTTAACATATTTTCCTATACTTTGTGTTTTTTAAAATTTTTTTCTTTTTCTTTTACTTCTCTATGAGAAGATGTTATCAGATTGGTGATATTCTATTATAGGGCAGTGGTTAGACGAGCTCTCTGGTTAGAGTATTATTTTATATCTCACTAGTATAGCAGGTTGTCTATGGGTGTTTGGGTAGCATTTAGTTATGTTGCAGTAGCTGTAAAATGTTAGAGCTGTAGTTTTATTGTTTTAAATCTTCTATAAGATAATGACTTGAATAAACAAAGTCACTGGCATGATCTTGGCTAAGTAAAAAAAATAAATTTTATTAGATAATTGAATATATAAAAACACATATTTCTATCTTGTAGTAATATTTAAAAAGGTATTTTTGTAATGTTTAAGGTATTTTATTCTAAAATTAAAATATAAATTTTAACAATTTTAATTCAAATTTTGTTCAATTTCATATCAATACTATTTTTAAAATTTGTAATTTTGATTAAGTGAAAGGATCTTGAAAGTAATTTGCAATTTGTGTAATCTTGATATTCATATCTGTTTAACACAGATCAGCAGAAGCTTCAGTAAAATTATAAATTCAAATTTAATGTTTAAAAGACTTAGATTTACTTTATCTTAAGCTAGACCAAACTGATTTTAAAGATTTAACTACTATTAAAACTGGAATGACCTGCTAAGCAATTTACTTAAAGTGATATATTGATATTTCTTAGTAATATTTTAAGATCAAACCACTTTTTTGTATGACCAACCATGAGCTGCTAAGTATTAGCCAATAACTGATAAAAATTGATTAATAACTAACTGTGACTAACTGGACTCATTCCTAGTCAAAAGACAAAATTCTATTCAATTATAAATATGTTAGAATAATTTTTAGTAAATAAAACAAAAACTCTAGATAATTCAAATTTGTTTAGGCCATTAAAGGTTGAATATTTGTTTAACATCATTCAACCCTCTTGGTTAGCTGTTTCCCAAAAATTAAATAAGCCGATCACAATTAGTGATAGGTGACGAAATTGACAAAATTTGATGAAATAAGTATTTTGCAATTTCATTACTATAAAATATTTCTGCACTTATCATATTTTCGCAAAATAATAAGCATGGGCATTATTAAGAATAATAGTATAAATTAAGCCTAATTTAGACAAAAATTTGTAATTTCACCTTTGTGTGTTATTTTGTAATAATAGAATATAATTTTGTTAATTTCATTAATATGAAAATAATTTTACATCTATCTATAATCACAATGCAGGATAATTTTTAATAGTTATGTGAATATTATTATTATAGTCAAACTTTTTTTTCTATTAAACAAGATCATGCCAGTAATCAATGTTTAATAGAGTCTCAATCTTGTGAAAGATTACAAGTATATTATTATAACATTAAAACTGTGATCTTGACATCCTACAGCTGCTTCAAAGAGTGCCCATTGGTGATCTGCCACACTGACAAGATAAAATCAAAAGGTATTATTCTAACCAGAGGGCTCATCTGACCTACTGCC